AAATGCTTGGAAGTCCAAACTATCCCAAAACTGTTGAGCTTAATCAATCAAGAACCTAGCCAGAAAGCCTTTAACCCCACTCTGAATGTCCCAGTTAGACACTACATCAGCCTTTATCAGATGGAGAGCTGAAGAAATATCCTCTCTCTTAGGAGCTATCTCCAAACCTGTAAATGGTGTCTGCTCTAGAATAGATATGCCACGTAGATCTGAGAACTCCTCCAAAGTAGGGACCAACTGATAGTCCGGAAAGGTGAAACAATGGTTCAACGGGTCGAAGAACTGGAACAAGACGCTCATCATTTGCTCATCTAGCTTGGAAGTGACCAAACCAAGGAGATGACCATGCCTTCTGACAAAGGAATAAGTATCAGGAACCTTAGAAACTAACTCTCTAAGTTGAGCAGGTATCTGCATGAAACTGATCTGAATGGTATTTCTGCGCATAGATGCCATGATTTGCAAAACAGAACAAAGATGAATCCCATCGGTCTTTGAAATGGTTAGTCTAAAAAATATGCATGCAATGTCATGATGCATGATGTCATGATAGAAACACACCACAGGTATCACAGATAGCAAACATGGTAAGGGCAAACAAGTCACACAATAGCCCTTAAATTTCAGGCTGGCATGGAGTTTAGGTACTACCCTCTTTCAATTTAGTTGGTTCAACCTGTCCTAGTAATAGTAACCGGGTTCTAGAGGATCTCAATACCACTGACCATCCTCGATCGGTCATAATTCCAGTTTAGCAACCTTTTCTTGCGGTCGGAATCATCGCGAGAGTATGGTCTCAATGAGTATAGCATACTGCTACTTTTCTATGGCCAAGTTGGTCAATTATAGGTTCTAAGGTCAGTTGATGCTTAATGGCCCCTTAGCAGCCCCATACTCTCCTTGTTCCTCCACAAGGGATATCGGTACAAACTAAAGTGTCACACCAACGTAGCTACTGCTTCAACCATATCGGTCTACGTTGTACAGTTCCCTCACAGTCTATTGCTACTTACCTAAAAGGTGTTCCCCAGATCCGGGTTAGGATCTATAGTAACTCTGATTCAAACCCACAAAGATAAAGCAAACAGATCAAACAATTAAAAACAATATAATGAACTATTCCTAAGGTACACCCCACTTATTAACAATCCCCAGCAGAGTCTCCAGTTCTGTGATACGGTGGCCAGAACCGGGATCGTGTTTCCCTATTTCGTTAAGGAATTTGCTGGTTTGTGTTTTGCGTTTGTGTTCGCAAAATGTCACGGTAAGCAAGAGTCGCTACCGTCTTTTATTTTATCCAACAAGGAAAGGAAAAAAGCACAGAAAATTCCTTTTTCGATATATTTCTTAGTACGGGGGGTAGATTATAAAAAGGGAAGGTATTAGCACCCTTTCTATTCGTAGTTATCTACGGGCTCTTAGGTACTTGCTCATCATTTTCAAAATTGTTTTCTTTGTGTTTGTGGGTTTTGAAAAGTTTTTGTTTTAACTTCGATTTAACTCTTGCTTCTGTCTTCAAGAGTGTAATGAAGTTTTTTTGGAAACTTGTTTGTAAAGGAGTGTAAGTGTAAAAAAAAAATTTGTTTTGAATGAGCAAGTACTTATGAGCTAATCTACCTACTCGAAAAAAGAATCGTTCTATGTTCGTTTCCTTTAGACAGCGCTATCCCACTATTAGTAAGTAAGTAGCACTGTCGTTGGAGTTTTGAGGGTCAATTCGAAAAGGGACGTACGGTCACTAAAGCAACGTTAGGACGTCTTAGTAATAATCCTAATGTCTTAGATCAATTATCCGAGGCAACAATATTCGAGGCAACCTTTCCGAGGCAACTATGATCTTTGGACAAAAGGACGACCACTAAAGCATCCTAAACTCAATGACCGTTTACCGAAGGCAACCAAGTGGGGTGTACCCTAGGAGTGCGCATGTACGAATGATTCAATTTCAGATTATTTTATCTTTGCACATTTAAGGTGATCTAACTGTTTTAAAATTAGCCATACATTCTTGTCATGCATCCTATTATCAAACATCTAACAGTTAATAATTTGCGGAATTTAAAGTGCGGAATTTAAACTACGCTATTACAAGGCTTCGGGTATTTACATAGCCAAAAACAAACCCTTTGAAATTAAAAGCGATAAATGTAAAAAGTCCTAATTAAAAGAGAAAATTGTTTTTTGTTGTTTTTTTAATATTTTTTAAAGAAAATAAATTAGGTTTTAAAAATAAATGTTAAATTAATTAGTTATTAAATCAATTAATAAAAATAATTAAATGACATATTTTTTTGGATTTTTGGTTATTTTAGGAAAAAAATAAAATACAATCAAGTTAGTAATAAAAACTAATTATTCTAATTAATTTTAATTATTTGCAAAAATAAATTAAAGTTGTCTAATTAATCAAACCTAATTAAATTAATTAATTTATTGCTAAAAATAATATTCTAATTTTATTTGGACATAAAAATATTTTTGGTGATTTTTTGATAAAAAATAAAATTAGTTTTGATGATTAGTAAATAAATAATAAATAAAATAATTAAATGAAATATAAAAAGAAAAGAATAAGAGATGGGCCTGAATTGGGGGTGCCAATAGCTAAAATCTGGGCCTAAAGGAGATGACCCATGCTGACTTTTTGGATCCAGTATGATGCGCTGACTCTGGCTCATGATGCACCTTCAGTGGTGGCCATCAGATTTGGCCATCTGGCCATCTGGCGCGTTTGATGATGAGGGCATATGGTGGATCTCTTGGCTTCGCACATACTGAATCGCCTGAAATAAAACAATAAAATAGCAAATGCTGGAGGCAGGGATCGAACCCCTGACCTCCATCCTCTAAAGCCTTAAGCGCTCATGTGTCCACCACTACGCCATTTTGTTTTCACTGTTATCATATTACAAAACAATAATAATATATGAAACAAATAAAATAATGGGAAATTCCGCGCGAAATTCAAACAAGCCAGTAGGGGAGTGACAACTCATCGTCTCCTTCCTCTCTCCGTGGCTAAAGGTTTGATAACCTATACCTACGGAAAATTTTTCGTTGCTATAAACTCGTGCCTTCTCAAAATCTTCCACATGCCATGGAAATAACATCTAAAGCCATGGTTGTGTCTGTCTCGTCCTCCTGAACATGCCAATATCACTTACGAAGGCAAATTGTCCCTGTAATCAAAAACCCTAAAACAAAGTTCTGAAACCTAGCAATGGTGAATTTCTCTACAGGCCATATAAATGCAATTGAATGGTGCAGAAAGCTTGCAAATGTCTCATATATCAATAATATGTGATTAATTCCATCTAACAATGCCTATATCATGAGATACGAATTCAAGAACAAGGCTAGGTCGTGAGCGACTTACAGTGCATTTTGGGACTGGAATGGACTTGTTCTTGATTGCTTTAGCTTGCTGAGAGTCCTAGGAGTCGACTGAGATCGTCAAAGAGTCTTGAAACTGCCTCTAAAGGGGATTTCGATCTCACACTTTTCTTGGTTTTTTTTTTCAGTTTTGGTTCTTGCTCTAGCGCCTGTTTCTAACCCCTTTTTAGGTCTGGCCTCGTTCTATATGTATTAGTGAAGGGATTAGGGTTGCAAAACTGGTCCAAATCTTTCTTCTTCAATGATTTTTGATTTGATTTGATTCCCTTTTAAGATCTTTCCAAACATGGCTTTTTTCAATCTTTTTGTTCACTCTAATGCCTTGCACGAATTTGAATGATGCTAGCTGTGTAATGAAGCCCGAAACAATCATAAAATCTCTTGTTATCAATGTTTTGGATTTTATTTGATTTGTTTTGATTTAAATTGAATTAATTCAAATAAAAATCAAAATAAATAATAAAAATAAGTTATGGATAAGTGGAAAAGGCTAGAGCACGTGGGCTATGTTTCCAACTCAAAACAAGTGAAAAAGATTGAGCCCATTTAGCAAAAATTGAAGTTTTAGGGATAGTTGACTTTTGGTAATTTTACAAAAAAGGTCAACTTCACCAATGCATAACTTCCTCAATTTTGACTCTTTGGAGGTGTTCTTGGACTTTTTAGAAAGCTTGAGATGTACTCTAATCAACACTTTTTGTATCATCTCATTTTGACATTCCATTCTCATGTATGAAGCTTTGACAAAAAAGGTGTTTTTGTTGACTTTTCAAAATGACCTATAATGTCCAAATTCATAACTTCTTGTGAGTGCATATTTTGAACTTGGGAGATGAAGATGGATCATAGGGAATTGCATACTCTTCAAAATGAGCTTTGTATGGGTCATTTCTCATAAAGTATGAGAAATTTATGCTTGGTCAAAGTTGAGTTGACTTTTCCTGCAAAACCCTAATTTAGCAACTTTTGAGTCTTGATGAATTATGAACAATCCTTGATGAATCATGATCAACTCTTTATCAAATGATTAAATATACTTCAAAATGAGGATTTTGACCAAAAATATTGAAGTTTAACTATATGTGGGCCACAGTTGACTTTTGCCCTAGCACAGTCGATTTTTGGGCCTTTGAGCAATTGACTGAGCAAACTTTCTCTGCAAGGCTTGAAACTTGACATGGATGATCTTGATAACATATTAGGACATTGTTGATCATTTTTGATCACTTGGACTCAAGTATCTTGATGCAACATGAAACCCTAGTTTGAGGTAGATTGTCTTTGGAGAGAGCTTGTCTGGCCAACCCTTGGACTACCTTGAGCCACTTGGAGATCTTTCTTAAAATATTTTGAGAAATATGGGAGGGAAAATTTTGGGGTAAAGTAGTATGGTTTAGTAACAATGGCTAATCCCATCAAATTTAATTCATTCCTAGGTTTTTGATGGCAACCCAAAAAATTTGTCACAAGAAATGCCCTTCAGGCCATGACCGACCCAGTTCAGTGGATCCAGTATAATCTAATAACGCTGTCAACATTTTATTACTCGTACCATTTATTCTATCAGCACATATACTTTTCAATTAGTTCAAAAAAACAAAAAAAAAATGAAAGGGATGGATATAGTGCGTTTCAAGGAGACAACTAGGGTTCAAGATTGGCAAATTTCCTCTCTTCTTCCTCAATCTGTGGTGCGCCTCACTTCTCCTTCTCTGATCAAAATCAAACAGAATGTCGCCGCTTTTTGTCTAAGATTACATCCCCAACTCGCACTCTCCTCACCTCAGTTCTGATCTCCTTCTTCTCCTATGTTTCTTTCTGCTCTCGATGTGGATCTCAAACACAGTCTAAGGATTGGACCAGTGTGACGGAGATGAAAGTGATTCCTCATTGATTGCATTATCACAAAGAACAAGAAAGGTAGAGTTACAACTCATCGACCAGAGAAAAACCGACGTTTCATCAACTCCGCGAAGATGATGAGGAGCCAACGAGAAATCCCCATGCAGATTACATGTACGAATCTTTTACTTCCTTTGATTCTTCCTCCTGCTCTGAATTCACTGTGTTTTTGTTCTTGTTGTGATGTTGTTGATCTGTGCAGGGTCTTAAAGATAATCGAAGTGATTGAAGGTTTCGTGGTTATCATGACGAAAGTTATGGATACAGGGAAGTGTCACTCTGAAGATAATGAGTGATGGTTGTTATTAAATACGGCCGTTGGAGATTGAAATCCTTGTGAAGAAGACATGATGTTGGAGTGATTTGACACTGAAGGACTGTGATATGGTGGGAGAACTGACTTGGGTGTTTTGCGTATTATCGCAAATGTTACGGTTAGCAAGAGTCACCACCGACTTTTCTTTTATCCAAAAGGAAAGCTGAAAAGAACAGGAAAGACCATTGAGATTATTTCTTGAGTTCGAGGGGTAGATTATGAAAAGGGAAGGTATTAGCACCCTTTTCACCCATATTTATCTATGGGCTCTTAGTTGCTTGCTAGATCACTTGCTTTTGTTTGAAAATATGCTTTGTGGGGTTTTTTGAAAGTATTTTGAAAAGGCGCCTTCGTTTAGGAAAACTTTGTAATAGTTCTCGTTTGTAAGAACGTATACAAAGTGTTGATCTTTTGAAAATGTTTCATGTTTGGAAAATATTTTGAAAGTGTTTTTGAAAGTGTTGGTGTTTGTTTTGAAAATAAGCAAGAGTATTTGATTTGAAATTAAGCAAGCAACTAGGATAAATCTACCTACTCAAAAGTCTTAGTTCATTTCTTCCTTTCCTTTGATATTGCTATCTTACCATTGATTTGGTAAGAAGCCTTATCTTTGGATGTAAAGGGATGGCCGTGGGACGTTTATATAGTCATAGAAGGCAACCTATGAGACATTTTAGCAATTTCTTTTAGGAACTAGATCGTTTACCGAAGGCAACATCGAGAGTCATCGAGGGACTACGATCTTTTATCGAGGGTCTTTGCTAAAATGCCCATGTTCGAGGGACATGACTATTTTTCCGAGGCAACAAGTGAGATTACCCTAAGGGTGCATGTGTGCAAATTATGTTTGATTTGCATACATTTTGTCTTGATTAGGGTTTGTCTACTTGTTGGTTTTATCTTGTCATACACACCTAATTACTAGCATTTGTACAAAAGTAATAAAAAATGCAGAAAATAAATCCTACATTATTACAACCATATTGAAGTGTATAAAAATATAAAGGCAAAAATAAGATAAAAAGAAGAAAAATGAGCTCGTTCGATTGGGGGGAGGAGCAGTCTTCGATTCTGCTTCTGTTGGCCTCCTTCGATTGGGAGTTGGCATCCAGCAAGTCATGGCCTTCGATTAGGCTTTGGTAGCAGCTGGTCATGGCAGCAGTAGGGTGTGGCCTTTGATTGGGCATTGGCAGTAGCTGGGTGTGGCTTCTCGTTCTGCCTTGTTGCCTTGTTACCTTCTTCGATTGAGCCTGGAATCAGTAAGTCATGGCCTTCGATTCTGGCTGGACTTAGTGCAAACATGCCTTCTGAATCTTCCTTTCTGCCTTGGGAGTCAGCATGGGTATGCATTCTGGATGGGCACGGAAGTTAGCATGGAAGCCCAAGGCTTCTTTTCCTACTTCATTCCCCCTGTTTCTTTCGTTTGAGATATTATATGGCAACATGGCCTAAGGCCATGCTAGTATTTGTCTTGCAAATAGTTTAATACTTAAAGCATGTTTAGGAAAACTAGAAGCAAACGAAAGGGTTAGTTCTAAAAATATATTAAGAGGGTGGAAACGAAAAGAACAAAGTATTACGTACATGTTTCAAACGAAAGGGAAAGTTACTCACATGCTATGCCATGAAATGAAAGGTTCAAGGGTAAGAGTGACTTGCCTTGCTTCAACCTGGAACGTGAATTGGGCCTTGAGTGGTGGCTCTAGGTTCTCCTAGATTCGAAGGGAGCGGCCAGAAGCCAAGCCTTGGATGCTGGATTCGAAGGAAGAAGGAAACAAGTGTTATGTTTCTTTCCAACTGGATTCGAAGGAGACTGAAGTGTGGGGAGTTCTTCAGAATTGAAAGAGGTGAGAAATGGGATTCTGGGTTTTTTGATTTCACAAGTGTTTAAGGACTTGAGAGCTTTGTTGTTGTGTTTGATAAGATTTTGGAGGTTTTGTTCCTCTGGTCAAAAAATCCTCTTTAGCCTTTTCAAAGAATTCCTCTATTTATAGAGAAAGAATGGACATGTTGTCCAAAGCCATCCTTGCAAAGAAATGATAAAACATATGTAACGTGAAAGTACAAGTGGGGGGCCTTTTGGCAGTTGGGGTGCAGAAGATGTGACTTATGCTTCTGGCCCTCTGATTATACAAAGATTTGGAAGTAACATAGCCTGTCAAGTAGGGTAAGGCCATGAGATTTCCTCACATTTTCTTCAAACGAAACCTGCAACGAATGGCTCAACTTGGATTCGAAGCAAGCTGATTCAAAGGGGATCCACATTCCAATAGAAGCTTTGCATGCATGTAATTTTGTCCAATCGAAGAGTTTTCCTTGCATGGGGAACATGTGGCCAGCAGGTCATGGCCTTCGATTGCAAGCATGCAGGCAACATACTTGTCCAATCGAAAGGCTTGCCCTGCATGGGGCATTTGTGGCAGCAAAATTTGGTATTCAAAGCAAACATGCAGGCAGCACGCTTGGTGAATCGAAAGGTTTGCCTTGCAGGGGGCACTTGTGGCCAACAAACTTTGGTATTCAAAGCAAACATGCAGGCAGCATGCTTGGTGAATCGAAAGGTTTGCCTTGCAGGGGGCACTTGTGGCCAGCAAACTTGGGATTCAAAGCAAGCATGCAGGCAGTGGAAGACATAAACGAAGCCTACAACAAGAAGTCAAATGACCAGACGGAAGAGGCACGATAGCAGCCATTTTTGAGCAATCGAAGGAGGTGCAAAGTCCAATTGAAGGGTGCTAAATCGAAGGAGGCCTATTTTTCTCCAAATTTGTCAAAATGTTATTTTTATCTGCTTTCTCCCTTTTTGACAGTTTCCTTTTAATTTTGGTACTGGAAAAGCCCAGTGTACTTGTGCAAGCTTGAATCCTGAGGATCTTTGTGAGAAAATCCTTGAGAATTGAGAGGGAAAATTTTGGGGTACAACAGCTGCCCCTGTTCAATCTTCTTACACCTAAAGAGTTAGATTGGCGAATCTGCCATTCGTGACTTGAAGGTGGAAGATGATTGAACACTAGAGTGCCCAGAAATTTGCACTTGGTGATGTTGTAGTTGATTGTGTAGGGAATGGGCTTAAAGATGCCATTTGGAGAAATTATGGATAGTTGTTGGAGATGGGCTTATAGATGCCATCCAAAGGTGATTGTTGACAGAAATTAGACTAAGTATAAGCTCTGACTTTAACTAGAGAAGAATCAGAATAAATCTTGGAGCGATCTATTTGAACCAGAGGGAATGTCTACTAGAAAGAATTAGGATAAACCATTGAGAGATTTAAACTGAACCAGCTGAGGTCTTTGATCGTTCATTTGTGATGGGCATGTGTAGGGCTGCTTCAGGATGAGTCTGTGTAAAACTTCATCTGGAATTTAAGAGAAAGAACCTGAGTAGGGTTACTTCATGATGAGTCTGTGTAAAACTTCAACTGGAAATGTATGAGAAGGAACCTGGGTAGGTTTGCTTCATGATGAGTCCTTGTAAAACTTCATCTTGGAAAGAGAAGGAACCTGGGTAGGGTTGCTTCATGATGAGTCCGTGTAAAACTTCATCTTGAAAAATGAGAAGGAACCTGTGTAGGGTTGCTTCGTGATGAGTCCGTATAAAACTTCATCTTGAAAAATGAGAAGGAACCTGTGTAGGGTTGCTTCATGATGAGTCCGTGTAAAACTTCATCTTGGAAAGAGAAGGAACCTGTGTAAGGTTGCTTCAGGACGAGTCCGTGTAAAACCTCATCTGGAATTTAAGAGAAAGAACCTGGGTAGGGTTACTTCATGATGAGTCCATGTAAAACTTCATCTGGAAATGTATGAGAAGGAACTTGGGTAGGTTTGCTTCATAATGAATCCGTGTAAAACTTCATCTTGGAAAGAGAAGGAACCTGGGTAGGATTGCTTCATGATGAGTCTGTGTAAAACTTCATCTTGGAAAGAGAAGGAACCTGTGTAGGGTTGCTTCATGATGAGTCCGTGTAAAACTTCATCTTGAAAAATGAGAAGGAATATGTGTATGGTTTCTTCATGATGAGTCAGTGTAAAACTTCATCTTGGAAATGAGAAGAAACCTGGGTAGGGCTACTTCATGATGAGTCCATGTAAAACTTCATCTTGGAAAGAGAAGGAACCTGTGTAGGGTTGCTTCATGATGAGTCTGTGTAAAACTTAATCTTGGAAAGATAAGGAACTCGTGTAGGGTTACTTTATGATGAGTCCGTGTAAAACTTTGTCTTAGAAAGAAGAGGAACCTGTGTAGGGTTGCTTCATGATGAGTCCGTGTAAAAATTCATCTTGGAAATGAGAATAAAACTGGGTAGGGCTACTTCAACTGGTCGTGTAGATAATTTCCATGACTTGTTACAGGTATTAATCTCTGACCTGAGAAAGAAAGATAGTTTCCCTGGCTTGTTACAGGTATTAATCTTCAATCTCTTCATGTAGATAGTTTTCCTGGCTTGTTACAGGTATTAATCTACAATCAATCGTCCACAGATGGTTTTTCTGGCTTGTTACAGGTATTAATCTGGAACTTGAAAATTGTTGGTCGTTGAGATAGTTGTCCTGTCTGGTTTTAGGTATTAATCTCTGACTTGAGAAAGAAAGATAGTTTTCCTGGCTTGTTACAGGTATTAATATTCAATCTATTCATGTAGATAGTTTTCCTGGCTTGTTACATTTATTAATCTATAATCACTCATCCACATATAGTTTTCCTGGCTTGTTACAGGTATTAATCTAGAACTTGAAAATTGTTGGTCGTTGAGATAGTTGTCCTGGATGGTTTCAGGTATTAATCTCTGACCTGAGAAAGAAATACAGTTTTCCTAGCTTGTTACAGGTATTAATCTTCAATCTCATCATGTAGATAGTTTTCCTGGCTTGTTATAGGTATTAATCTATAATCACTCGTCCCCATATAGTTTTCCTGGCTTGTTACAGGTATTAATCTGGAACTTGAAAATTGTTGGTCGTTGAGATAGTTGTCCTGGCT